TTCAAAAATTTTTTTTAAAAATCTTTTAAAAATTTTTTTTTTTTTTTTTTTTTTTTTTTTTTTTTTTTTTTTTTTTTTTAAACAGATACTTGGAAATAATTTATTATACAGTGTTTCCCCTAGAAAAGCTGCTGAGCCTGGTGGAGACCACCAGCAGCTCACTGTGTTAAAACATGTGAAAAGTTGACAGGAAATTGGACTAGTTAGTGATGTATTATTGGAAGACATCACATAATGGAACAGCAACTAAACATTCTTAAAACAGGCAAACATAAAAGCATTTCATTACAAAAAACATAATTTTATTTGCACCTGGATGAAGTAATCAGCTGATGGGTCTTAAAACAAGCAGCTTCATCATCTATCACTGTTTGTGGATGTTCCTTGTTCCATCAGATTTACAGATGTACCAGAAATGCACGACTGGAAAAAAGTGGATTAATTTATGAAGATTAAATGTATTAAATAAATTCAAATCTATTTCATAAAAAGTCCTGTCCCTAGTTAAGATATCTATAAATATTTCTGCAAGGCACTAATGGTCTTAATGATGCATTAAGACATTTTGGGCTGCAAGAGTATTTAAAATGACAGTCTGTGTTCCTATTATAATCTTTTGCCTTTTTCATGTTTTGATGAAGCTGATTGGTTGACACAAATACTTAATACTAATACTCTGTAAATCTTAGCCAGAAGTGCTGAGACGGTTTAATTGTGTTTTCACCGCTGAATTGTTTTCCTCATTTTCTGTTTAGACGAACAAAAACTCGCTCTTTTGACAACCTGCCTAGTGCGTGTGAGCTGGGAAGCACACTGGCTCCCAACCGGCGCTCCAGTGACCCGAGCCTCAACGAGAAGTGGCAGGACCACCGACGCTCTCTGGAGCTCAACATGGCAGTGGGCCCTGAGGGAGGGGCCAGTCAGGAGCCGCAGGCCGGCGGAGAGGGGCCGTGTACGGACGGACAGCAGTCAGAGCTGGGCGATGACCAGCAGTCCCGCGAATCCCAAGCCGCGTTCCAACAGGACGCCCTGGTCAGCCTAGAGGGGGGACCAGAGGAGGCAGAGCTCTCTGTGGTGGTTGGCATGGCTGAGGGGCAAATGGAGAACATCCTACAGGAAGCCACGCAGGAAACAGCAGATTTACAGGGGCAGAGACCTGCTGCTGCTGCTGCTCACACAGAAGTGAAGAAGGAAGTTGAATGTGAGGGGGAAACTCCAACGATGGAGACGCAGAGAGAAATAGTTACAAACGGTCACCATCCTGACAACAGCGAGATGGAGGCTGAGGACGATGGGGATTCTGCTCCTCTGCCTTCACAGGAGGAACAGGATCTCCATCAGCAGCCGAACGACCAAACTCAAACACCAGAGGGCGCTGTGGAGGAGAGCGTCACCTGCTCTGCTGTTGGAGAAAAGTCTAGCTCAGGAGAGCAGCCGCTGTCTGAATCCCATAGAGCTGTTACTAACGGCTTCGTGGGCGGGTCATCAGAGGAGCAGGACATAGATGAGACCGGTCCCGCCTCAGAACCCGAGCACGCCGCCTCAGAATCGGACGAGCCACTGGACAAGAAGGCGTCCCTGATGGAGAGCTCCACAGAGACTTTAACCGAAGAAGCCTGCAGCAAGCTGGAGCTTCTTCCTGGACAGCCAAGTGTTTTACCCAACCGTCAGCCGCACGGCGACGGCAGGAGCCAACACCCCGGCTTCAGGAAGGACAGGGAGGCGGCCGAGCCCGGCTTTAGCAGAACTTTAAACGGAGGCAGCAAGCATGCCTCGGTCAGTGCCTTTCAGTCTGCCAGTGCTGAGCTAAGCAGGGAAGGGCTTTACAATGGAGACTGCTCCGACGGAGACCCCAGCGTAGGACCGCACTGGGCCAAAGGGAATGGGGAGCGGGCCCCGTTCAGCCGACAGGTGTCTCTGGCCAGCTGCAACTCCCTGGTCCTCCATTCACGGGGCATCTGCCTGCAGCACCGCTGCTGCCACGCCGCTCCCAGCCGGGCCGCCGTCAGCCCGGAGCAGCCGACCCGCAGCCACCTGGACGACGACGGGCTCACGTTGCACACGGACGCCATCCAGCAGAGGCTGAGGCAGATCGAGGCGGGGCACCAGATGGAGGTGGAGACGCTGAAGAAGCAGGTGCAGGAGCTGTGGAGCCGCCTGGAGAACCAGCAACACGCTGGATCGCACCGGATCAACGGAGATGTGGGTGACGAACTGGTGAGACGCTGCTCTGCCTGTTACTCTTTAGAGAAAAATGTAACTTTCCATGCTGTTTTTATTAAAAATGTGCACAAATCTTTGTCTACATTCTGACAGTGTCAACCCCCCCCAAAACTTTGCAGTTGCAGTCTTTTCATTAAGAAAAGACTTTAAAATCACACATGAATAAGCTAATTCACAGGATAAGTCATTAAAAATTATGACAGCCACAGATGTAAACTGTTACATGATATCTATTCATAATTCAGCTGTAGTTTCAGCGCTCATCATCTATCAGCCATCAGAGAAACATTGATGTCTTATTCAGGCGTTGGCACAATAAACCTCTTAAACTTTGGAGCAGCTTCGTATGCGGCATTTGATGAAGCTGTAGTTGGCGATTTTACAGAAGAGTTATGGATTCTTCACTGTAGAATGATGCACAACTTTCTATGAGCTGTGCGAAGCTGTGACGGTTCTGGAGGAGCCAGCTGCACATTGTTCAAAACACATAAAAAACAGACAAACCATCTTTCTCCTACCACTTCCTGTTGTCGTCTCTGACGGTTTCGCCAGTAGACTCATCCAGCTGCTCGTCACGTGATTTGAGTGACACAAAAAGTGTTTCCATTGCAGCTTTGTGAAATACATGGATACGGCTACAAAACCACCTCATCCCAGCTCCAAAACTTTTTGCAAAAAAATATTTTTTTTATTTTTTTAGAAATTGGGGTGTTTTTATTAAGCAAATGTATTTTTGTAATTTCAGTTTCCACAGTTTGATGGTGGATGTAACTCAGCTCCCGTCTCTTTCTGTCCAGACCTCAATGACCGACTCGGAGTACAATCTGGACCCAAACTGCTTGTCCCGCTGCAGCACGGAGCTCTTCTCAGAGGCCAGCTGGGAGCAGGTGGACAAGCAGGACACGGAGGTGAGCAAGAACCACTCCGTCACCGTGGAGACCACCCAGAACTCCTCCGTAGATGGGAGCGGTGAACGGCTCTGTGTGCTTGCTGCAGGTCACTCGCTGGTACCCTGACCACCTGGCCGCTCAGTGCTACGGCTGTGAGAGCCGCTTCTGGTTGGCCACCAGGAAGCATCACTGCAGGTGAGCTGGACTCCCACTGATCGCCTCACCTCCAACCAATCAGTACCGCCGGGATACCAGTGATGACAAATAGTAACGTCCCGTGAATATCTCCTGTATTTGTTGAGCTTTTGGTCGTTGCTATAGAAACACTTGGACTGAAATTTACCCGTCTCAAAATGCCCTGGCCAGGACGTTCATTTTAAACAAGTTATATTTAGTTGTTTCTTCCACTTCAGTGTTTCATTGTGTCTGTATGCGACAGGCCGCCACACAGCAGCGCTTGGTTGTGAAGTGGAAGGAAAAATAATACGAGATTTTAAAAGTTTGTGAAAATAATAATCAGGGATGTTCTTTATTAGCCGATATTAATCATTCACACAGATGTCTCTATTTATATTGGTCATTTTTTAATACATTGCTATCAGTCCAATGAATAAAACCGAGATTTGATTCTCTCTTGTTACCGTTTGGTTCTGGACAGGATGAGCAGTAGGTTGGTCATGTGACTAACAGTGATGCAGCACAGGATTGTGGGAATTTACCTGAAGCAGAGATGTAATGGAGAGGTCAGCTGTTTTTTTTTGTTTGTTTGTTTGTTTTTTTTTGTCCAAGATGTCAACAGATACAATATCTGTAAATATTGGATATCAATATTGGCTCAGATTTTCTTACGGATGCGTCTCCAATAGGTGGACTTACCCCTCTGCTGTATTTAAAGCTAAAATGGTTTAATAAAAAAGCTGCTCTTTTTGTTTCACTTCATTAATTCACTATTTTCTCTTGGTCTGTTGCATAAAATCCCCTAAAAATTCATTTGGTTGTCAAGGTTCAAAAAGTAGAACTGCTGTTCCAAGAATTTCCTTTAATTACTAAAGATAGATGTTATCAGACTGTAGCTTCATCTGTGGTAGAACACAGAACGTCTTATTGTACAACTTCTGGTTCCCTTTGTCAACGCTGAGTAGTACGTTGCCATGGTGACTAGTTGTTGGATTGAGTTGAACTGTTTTGGAGAGGCATGATGCCCTCATATTCAGAAGGATGTTTCGGTGGATCGAAGTGCTGCCGTTTTGATTCGTCTTCATGTGAAATATTTAGGAAGCCTTGGTTTTTTGGGTTTTTTAGATAAAGGACCATGTTTGGTCAGGATGTGGATTCAGAAACGGCTGGTTGTCATCACTCCTCCTAACCTAAGCGCTGAGCAGGAAGTGTGTTGTTGCTGTGCTCATGTTTTCTGCGCTGCTCCGGCAGCTCTTACCCATCGTCTGCCCCTCTTCCTCCTCTACAGTGGCAGAGAGGCAGTCCAGGAGGTCTGGTGAGATCCCGCCCAACCCTCCCACCGCTGTACCCTGCTCTTCCTAATCCTAATCCAAGCCCCTCCCCCTCACACCCTCTTCTCCTCACCTGCTCCGTTTTGGTTGATTATTATTGTTTTTTTTAAACTGATCAGTAGCTTCACAGGGACACGCTGATTTCTGACAGCAGAGTTTTCGTCCTGCTGTACGGTTCCACAGAGTGTTTTGTTTTTAACTGGCTGTAAGTGAAAGCATGGCGCCGTGACCAGGCCAGCTGTGATTGGTCGAAGGCTGATTTATTTATTTTTTTTCTTTTTTTTTTTTTTTAAGTTTATGATAGAAATTGATTTGCTAATCAGAACAGAAACGGACTGCCTCAGCCTCAACCCACCATAGCGGCACATCAGCACCCAGTTGCCCCGGCAGCATGCTGCCCCCCCGCCCCCCCTCACATTCCACCCCCCTCCAGCTCCACAGCATGGCTCCCAGAGCTGCTGCCATCACTTGGTTGAAAAAAAACCGGAGACCCAGAAGTTTTTTTTTTTTTTTCCTTTTTTCTTTGTTTTATTCGGTTCAGTTCGGTTCAGGAAGCACCACAGTGTGTGTAGGTGTGTGTGCATGGCCTGACATCTGAATGTGAGCATGGGGATCTGAGTGTTGGCGTCTGTCTCGCTTACTGGCCAGTCTCTGGTTGTCATGTTTCTCTTGTCAAATACTGATTTCAACTGATTCTGTTTTTTTCTATTTTAGAACTAGAATTCAAGTATTTATAAAAAATAGATTTTGTTTTAACTGTACTACCAAGCAATAATTGTTTATAGTTGGAGCAAAGGTCATGTTTACTGTTAGAAAACAAAGTAAAACTGACTGAACAGATATTTTAAGCTGTTTTTAGCCATTTAAATGAGTAATTAGTCCAAGTAATCCAGCTAGCATTACAAAAACTACAGTCTCATGAAGGGCTGCAGCTGATGATTATTCTAACCATTAATCGATTAATCAGATTTTTAAAAATTGCCACATTCTGACAATTTTTTTTGCCATATTTGCAATATATTAAATAAATCCCTTTTTAAAATAAGAAAATAATATTTTTATTCCTCAAAATGCAACAATGTAGCATTCCTTTTTAGCAAAGAATGCATCTGAACCTAAAAACTACTTCTAACATCAACATGCTGCTTCACTTAACCACATGAGGTAGAACAAATTTACAATACAAGGTTTATTTTTTAATGAAAATGTATACAAATATATTATAGTTTTGTGTTCTTCCTTTTTGAATCAGTATCCAGCTAATGATTAATCAATTAGTAAATTATTTGACAATAATTTCAATAATCGATTCATTGCGATTAATCGTTTCGGCCGTAGTCTTGTGTGTTCTCTATAGAATGTGTTTCCTTACTGTTACCATGGTTTCCAACGTTCCCAAATTCTGCATCTTCCATGAAAGACAGAAGCTCAAAAGGCTTAAAACTCATTTTAGTTAAAACTCAGTTTATAATGAAAAGTTTTATTATGGTGCGTTTACTGATCAGAAAAAAACAGAAAACTTTGAGTTTCTGATCCTGGCTATGAAACAAAGCGATGTGATTCCTCTGCCCGTCTCCGTCCTCATCTGAGCCGATAGTTCAGCCGTTCCTCTGCTTCGTGTCAGAACATGTAGTGATATTTCAGTGATGTTCCTGTGTGTTTTGTGTTCCTGCCTGTTTCACCGTGTGTTGCAGGTCCAAACGAACGATAACAGGAGCTGCTGATCGCTCAGACCCACCGTGCCTTGTTTAGCGTCAGAAATGCCTGCTAGCTGAGGACGTGATCGCCCTCTGTCTCCCTCTGCAGGAACTGCGGCAACGTGTTCTGCGCCAGCTGTTGCGACCAAAAGATTCCCGTGCCAAGCCAGCAGCTGTTCGAGCCGTGCCGCGTGTGTAAGAACTGCTACAGCAGCCTCCAGCTCAACTCCGCTCCTCTCGACCTCGAGCTCGAGAAACCCATCGCGGCGAGCTCCAACTGACGGAGCGCAGAGGAGCCGGGCCGGGTCAGGCCGGGTCGGGCCACCTGCCGCCGACACAAACGCACCGCTCAGGAGCACAGGAAGCTACGCAGAATGTCCCGTGTGTGTGTGTGTGGGGTGTGTGTTGCCCATCTGGAGTTTAAAGTGTATATTTTTAGGATGACATGCTGGCTACGCAACAAGAACTCTGAATGTTGGTGTCTGGAAGGGTGTGTATGTGTGTGTGTGTGTGTGTGGCAGTGAGGAAACTGCACTTCAAGGAGCGAGAATGGACTTCCAGGTGCCGAGAGAAGCAAGTCTCGGTGTGGAGCTCCGTACAGCCGACCGCTCCAGCACCGCGCCGCCACCCAGAGCTTCTGCAGACGTCACTTCTTACACTGAGCTCAAGTTTTTCCTCTGGACCGAGAAACAAAACAAACCAACAAGTGGAAAGAGAATCTCCCCGTCTCAGAAATCTTCACACAAATGGTGTAAAGAAATCCCTGGCACCATTCAGGCTCCACTGTTTTGTTTTTTCCTGGTTTGCACATTTTTCTGTCTAATTGGTTCTTTTGTTCCAAGTGAAATCTCAGATTTGAAGGCTTTGTAAGGAGCGTTAAACCAAACTATCTTGGTCTGGTTTCTACTAAAATGTCTTTCAAGTGAAAACTAATTTACAGGTAACTCTCCAGCTTGATGAAGGATCTTGTTTTAAGTCAATAATTCCTTAATATTAATGGAAAAAGTGCTGGTTTCATTATCAGATTATTTTACTTATAAAAAACATATTTAATCTGCCAGTGAAACTTGTACATTTTGATCAGTATTAAGGAATTAAAACTCCCTACATCTTGTAGGTTAATTTCTGTCTTGTTTCAAATGTACAAAGATATTTCCAGTAGAAACTAGACCAAAAGTACTTAAGAGTTTGTGTTTTTGCAGTGTGAAACTCTGTGAAACAGCAGGACTGAACCTTCAGCTCCCAGCATGTGGTCAGTCTGCTGGTGGAAATCTGGACAGGAAGCGTTTGGGTGTTGCAGAAGCGACTCCTGCTGCTCTGGGAGACCAGCAGCAGGAGGAAGGGCTCTTTGTGAGATCAAGCAAAGCTTCTCTGCGGCACATCCGATTCAATGACCTCCTTGCACACACACACACACGCACACTGACGCACTCTTTTTTCTTTTTGTAAAATAGATGAATGAAATAATATATTCAGATACCTATATAGCATTTGAGAAAACTGTATAGAATTCTTGAATAGTGGCTCATTTAATTAGTCACATTTCTTTTTTTATTTCTTTGTTCTCTTTTGTTAAAAATTGCACAAAAATACCTATATTTTGCATCCTGTCAGAAAAGGAACAGGGTTGTTGTTTTTTTTGTTTTTAATAGAGAAACAGGATGTCCTGTTTTGATGCTGCAGTGGTTTTCTCCTTTAAATGCGATTTATTATTTGGAGGTTATTTATTAAAGAGTTTTTGTTAAATTGCTGTTAGGAATCCAGATAATTCAATTGCTGCAGGATAATCAGGGGGGTGAGAGATGGTTCTGAACTGATTCTGACAGGCTCGTCCTTTTAGGATTGGCTGCGTTGGTTTAATCTGTCGATGGGGTCCGTGACGAGGCGGAGTGGCGCCATCTTGACTGAAACTTTCAGTGGGTTAGCAGTAGTCAGCGTCATCTATGCACTGAGAAAACGGTGGTCCAAAACAAACAGCCTGAACCCAAAATCAAAGCATCTCATCTTAACTTCGATTTACGACTCCATTCAAACCATCTCTACACACTACCTCTACTTTGTAATTGTTCATACACACGCACACCTGACTTCTAGATGCTCGGTGACTTTTGTCATCAACAAAGGCCTTGGTATTTTGTCATTGTTCAATACATTTTCTCCTGTTTTGCTCATTTTTAATATAAAAAAGGTACAGACCTCAAAGAATAGATTAGCATCCCAATGGTCGTCTTTTTGTTGTTGTTTAGACATAGGGCTGGGCGATAAATTGATTTTTTTTGTTTGTTTTTAAAGATTAAATTTATGGAAAATCGAGATTTTTTTTTCACCAATGCACTCCTTGAGTTTCCAAAGGTCAGAGTGATTTCATCGTGTTTTACAGCTTCCATGAATTTAGGTCAACTTCACCACAGAATGGCGCCAGACTACAACTTTTATTTATTTGTTTTTTAATTGCAAAAATAAAGTCATAAGAATACAGTCGAGGATAGGGTCGTAAAATTAGGAGAATGTAGTAATTTTATAACTTCCCCGAAAAAATAATAAAAACTTAAAATGAGGAATGTTGAGCACGTGAAGTTCTACTTCAATGTTGTTTTTTCTAATCAGGAAATGACGCATCAGCTTAGACTTTTAGCAAGACTTTGAAACGATTGAGTTTATTTATAAGAATCACACAGACTGATCTTTTTAACTATCGAAGCGTTTTTCTCTATGACGACCCTCCCCCCGTAATTTAAAGACGTTCGTTTGGTTAAAAAAAACGAGTCGCTTTTTTCCCCGCTAATATTATGAATAATCTTGTAATTATTCTTGTAATTACACAGAAGGCCTGATTGAAATAAAAGCCACTTTTTGAAAATATTATTTCCTTTGTAAGACCAGAAAGCGAGACAATAAAATCAGTGTGAAAAGGAACTGGTATGGAAATAAAAATCTGAGATTTTGTATCCAAGTCATATCGCCCAGCCCTAGTTAGTTAGGTGCTTAAGCAGCATGTTTATTTCGATCAGCTGAAGTGCACAAATGTATCTGATCTAAGAGAGTGTGGGTCCTGAACGCCTCGTGGTGCGTTTGCGTGTGAAAATGAGAGTCGCGTGCAGTGGACCTGCTGATAACAGTGCGTTAGCTTTCCTGCTGCCCTGCGATGGGAGTGCCGCATGTGCTTTAATTCAACTGTGTGTACGCCCGTTAGCGGAGGACTCTTAATATTAACATGTTTGAGATAATCTGTCATTCTCATTCCAAACTTTTGTTTATCACTATATAACGTGTTTTTTTTAAACAATTGGTCTAAGGAACAAAACGAAATGAAATATATTTTCTGACTTTCAGAGGCCTTTGTGAGGCTAAAGCTCTTTAATCTTCCCTCACAACATCCGATTTCCTCCCCGCTGCAGGCGTAAGGAGCCGCCATCTTATCTTAAACAATCCATGAATGTGAACTGTCTATATTGATGAATATTGCACGACATTAAGTCGACACTGCCACAGATCAGCTGCGACTGAACGAGCGCTGTGCTTCTCAGTATTGAAAGGAGCATGGTGAGAGCTGGTGCTATGTGTGTAGGAGTGTCGCTCAACACACTTGTTGCTGTACCTTCCCCGTTCCCCCCCCCATTCCAAGATCCAAGAAGTCCTCTCTGTCTGCAGATGTTTATCCTTCTCAGCTTGTGCCGACATTCTCTATCGGAGGCTTCGCTGCAGCGGCCCAGTAATCACTGGACGTGTGTGTGTGTGTGTGTGTGTGTGCTTGTGTCAGGCATTGCTGTGAGAGACTGACTGAGTGAGTGGGACTCTTTTGGTGGAGACTGGTGCCAAGCAGTTTATTACGGGTCTCGCAAAGGGATCAGTCATGTTTTGGTTGGTTTTACTTCTTTTTTTCTTTTCCTCTGTGTTTGATAAGCACTTTGAACCTTCTGTCTGTCAGAGGAGTGTGTAGCTGTACATAGCAATTTCCTGTAACAACAAGTGCTCCTTGTTCAGTCTGGATATTTAGTTTTGTTGGATTTACTTTATAGAGCATTACATTGTTGTAGAATTCAAATGAAAAATAAACTAGCTGAACCAAAGCGGTGGGTTTTATCTGATTCCTGCTTTCACCGACACAATGACGTCCCACGTGCCCACAGGAGCTGCAATTAGCAAACACCTGGTGGAACTGGACCGCCTGACTGCTGACTTTAAGATAAATATTTCTTAATCCAATGCTTCGTTCCACTTAAACTCAGAACTCCAACTTCCCAGTCCAAACAAAAGAAAAAAAGAAAGAAAATAGAGGGAAATAAACTGCATCTCTCTCCAAAGTCTGAGGGCTCAAATTGCAAAGTGAAATTTCTTTTGTATATATAAAGTGGCACTGTGTCGCTTTAAGGGTTTTCCAGGCCATTATATGAAAACATTTACATTTCTTTCTCTGTTCCAGCCATGTTTGTTAGTTGGTCCATTCATCTGTTTATCCACCATTCAACCCATTTATCCACTTACCCATCCATTCATCTGTTTGTCAATCCGTCCATTATATTTGCTCCTTAATATTTCAAATCAAACATCAGCTGCAAATCTACAGTGAACATGTACATTTCTAGTTAAAAAAAAAAGTCTGGAGTTATGTTGGAACCCTGTGAATATTTGCTGGTGAATCAAAGACGACAACAGATACTTTGATCGTGTTTAATGTATGTTCTCTTGTACAGCTTTGGAAATCAAGAAAATCTTAAGTTACTAACACCAATGCCTACTTACCGAATGCAAAGTCAAGTGGATTACATGACAAAAAGAGAACAACCAAGAAAAAAAATCAAGATCCAAAAGCAACTAATGCTTTAAGTAAGTCATGCTCACTGATGTTGAAGAGTGAAGGTGTTCTTACTGGCCCAAAGAAACAACACGGGGAGAGGGGAGGTGATAACCCTGACGGTTACTAGACTTCATATCACAGCACAGAAACGGGACATCTGTACCACAATCAGCAGCGGCGGCAGACTAAGAGCAAGCTGAGGCGGCTGGACCTGCTCGACTGTGCAACATTCGGCATCAAGAGGCAGAGCTGCATGTTTCTTTATCGTAGGTTTGCTAAAAAAAACACCACAAAGAACAATTGGAGCAAAAACATTGCTTACTTGTTTTAGTAAGGCCGGACAACGACGGTCAATAAAGCAGTCATATGCATGTAAATATCAAAGGCTAGTTAGTGAAGAGGACCTTTCAGTTTGGTCTGAAGTAAGAAGACTGGTCATGTGACGAGAGCAAGTCTGTAACTCCTGTTCAACCTGATCTGTGCAAAGAGTTGCCCCTCAGAGCTTTCTCTAGGTAAATAAAATCTGGTCTCACTCTCAGAGCAGAGAAGGAAAAAAAAACATCTTAAAGTCATAATTCATAATGAGAGGATTATATTGTTTCTTAGCCAACAACATTACGAATCTCCCTGCAACATCTTTAGAAACTCTTTTTAAAAAAAATAGACATGGCTTCACCAGCCGACTGTTCCCTTTATAAAAACTCACACGTATTATATGTACAGCGGATTAGATAAGAAAAGATTCTCACAACCTGGAGAACAGCGCCACCTCCCTGCCAACCAGACCTACTGCGGGGTAATGTCCATGAAAGCACATGTTGGAATGAGGATTGTCACAGGAGACTCCTGCCGCTGCGGTGAGGCTGAACCAGGAGCTCAGGCTGCAGTATGTACAGGCGATGGCCTCAGACATGGTGGATCGCTGTGCTTCAACTCACACTGGAACCAGGGTTTCAGTCACTAGCAGCCTGGAGGACTCACACTGATGACTGATCCCAGACCTGCAAACCAACAACACAGAAAAATATGACAGGAAAGTTGGATGGAAAATTGGGAGAAGCAGTTTTGACTGAGACAGGAATAAGTAACTTCAGGACTGGATGAAAACAGCTGTAACAAACATTTATAAAAGTGTTGAACATGTTAACATCAGGGTGTACGGGATTAAATTACTGTAGCATTAAGTTATAGAGGAAGATCATTCAAACTGCTGAAGTTCAAAAGTTTTCATGTCCCTTGAACCTTTACACATTTTGTCACTATATAACCGTAATGTTCTGGGTTTTTCCTGTGATAAAGTGATGCCCTTGTCATGTTCAATCAAGAGATAAATGTAAAACCAATATACATATATTGCAATAGACATGGTCAATATCAGTAGATAATATGTCTGATAGAATATTCAATGTGAAGAATATTCAATGAACGCAGATCCAGAACTGCACAGCATTCTGGGAGAATAAAAAGCTTTAGCTGCTCAACCTCCAATACTATTCTCCTTTGGTTGAATTGTATTGTATTAAAACGGTTCAAGGAGCATAAACATGTCTGAGACACTCTGTGCTTCATGTTGCTTTATTCAGGATGTTTCACTTGTTTCTGCTTCATGTAACACCTGGCAGCCTGTTTTCAGAACCACTGGGATCCCACCATACGGACCTTGTTAACGGGGGCTAGCTGTGTCCGGACGGACCCAGCATGGAGTCGAGTGCTGTCCCCAAATCTCCCAGGAGACCGCTCCCTGCGACTGTCCAGCACCCTGCCGGGGGACTTCTCTCTGTCCAGGGGACGAGCAGGAGACTTGTCTCTTCTGAACTCTGTACGACCCTCCCGGTAACGGTGCGGGGTGCTCGGCTCCCGGTGCAAACCGTCATGGCTGCCAGGGCCCGAAGTCAAGCGCTTGGTGATGTGCTCCGTGTAGGTGGGGGGGCCTCGCTTGCTGGGGCTGCTGCAGACGACAGAGCAGAGAGGAACGGCTTCACTGCCTGACCATGATCCTGTCAGATATTAACTTTAGATGTGAGTCAGCTGACCTTTGACCCACAAATATGTTTGTGATAAAAAATTAAAAAAAAGGCTAACAGTTTTTCTTTTACGGTAAGTTGTTTCTCCACCATTAGCACATTTAGCAGCATGTACACGAGCTTGATTGATGGTGCTAAGACGGTGGTTTCTGACTGCAAACTGTGAGTTTCTGCAGTAGTAGCACTGGATGGAAGTGGAGGAGCTCAATTGTTTTTCATAGACTTTCTCTCAGCAACGATTTTAACAAGTCTGTGAGAAAACTTAAGTTCGTAACAGTTACAAGATGCGGCTTTAATTGGAGAGTCTGTGTGTTCTGTAGCGGTGTGTTGCGTTGTCAGCTGACCCTCTGCTGGAGCCGGTCCTCTGCAGCTCTCCAGACTCTCTGATCAGGCTGCCCTTGCAGCAGATGACCCTCAGCTTGCTCTGGTAGGAGGAGGCCAGGTAAACGGCTCCAGAGGAGATGGCCGGGCCGAGGTAGCGCGGGTTGGGAATGTCCAGGTGGGCCAGCACTGTGGGGCTGGAAACATGAACAGAGTTTTAAGAGCTTCCAGCTGCCAAGCACAAAGACTTTCAGATGAGTTATGAAGTTATGATCTGCCTCACCACACTGCTGCGTGTCCCTGGACTTCAATCACATCCAGGGAGTTGAAGTAGGTGACAAACAGGTAGGGCTCTCTGTAGGCTGCAGTACAGGACACACACTCTTATTCAACGTAAAGACAGACGGAGCTGAGAGAAAAATGAAGCCAACAAGATGAAAGTAGCTCTTACCAAAAGACAGAGGCACACGGCTCCACTTGAGTTCATCGGTCCGACTTCTTCGTCCGTATGAATCCACAAAGAAACCAAACTCTGTCACGAAACATTTGTTACAGCCACAGGAAATAAAACCGTGGTGGTTGTGAAGACAGTAGACACCAACAGTTCACTGAGAAAATGTTGAGAAACATGACAAGCTGAGGATTTCTCATTGTGATGGTTTGATTTCCATGACAAACCATCATATCCGAGCAGCATTCACAGCCATTCAGCCTAACTACCACTGTTTTCTTTTACATAAAACAGAAGTGGTAGTTCTTTTTA